GACTACTTTCACCAATTTTAGCTTTTCCCTTACCACCAAACATTTTTTTCAAAGAAAATGCCATATTAATTACAATTATGCAAACTAAACACACAAAAATATATTCTTAAAAGTTAAGAGTTGGAACGAGTTTACCGAATTGCCGAACAACTTCTTGAAAATTGAAAATCGTTGAAGACTTGAAGACTTGAATACTTCAATTCACCAACTTCACAATTTTTCACGAAATTGCAATAATAAAATAAGCAATTATAGAAGAGAAATTAGATATAGATTGAGAGAGATTGAGATAGATTGATGAATTGGTGAGTAAAAATGAAAGAATGAGGGGGTATTTATAGTTGAGAATTGGGGAAAAGTGTAATTATATAAAGTTTGGGGTTAAAATAAAGTTTGGGGGCCAAATGGCTATTTTTTAAAATTCCAAACGGTTGAAAATTAAAGGCCAACGGCTAGATTTTAAAATCTGACCGTTGGCTATTTTTTTAAAAAAAAAAATTTTTTTTTTTAAAAAATTAGCCGTTGGAGCCCGTTAGGACCGCCAGGCCCGGTTGAACCGGCCCAGGACCGCCTGCCGGTCCCGGGCTTAGCGGTCCCGGTCTCGTGGGCTACACGAGCAAGACCGGCCCGTCACGGGCTTCTTACCCATTAAGGGACCGGCCCACCAGGACCGGCCCGCCGGGACCGTTTAGCCCGTTAGGACCGCGGGCCCGGTCCGGTCCCGGTCCCAGACCGGCCCACCAACAGCCTTAATTCGCGCTGCTGTATTCATCAATACAGCAGTAAAAAATGCCTAAAATCAGGGCAATCCAGTTGTACGTGCATGTATTCACATGTATTCGCGCCATGTATTCATGAATACAGTAACGACAATCGCCTTAAAAATAAATATGTCCAGCTGTCTAAGAGAGGGGGAAAACATAAATAGCATATTTCATGCCTCAATGGTAGTATATACCATACATACTTTGCTATAAAATATAAAAGGTAGCTATAGAAAATAATATTTTACAATATTTTTGGTTTATAATAAATAGGTTGTATCCAAATAAGGTAAGAAAATCATGACAAATTCCTAACACATAGTGAGTGCAATGTCACTTTATACACAATTAAATATTATGAATCCGCTTTTGGAGAAAGTAAATCATGCATAATGTAATGCTAAAATCTTACATTTATCTGAAAGTTAAATGTCATCAAAGGATGCGGTGGAATTAATGATATGATATTCCTTAGCGCTTCCTCCTTTAGCCTGAGCGGCTTAAACCAGAAAGCTTATATGATCAAGAAATGTTTGGCACATCTCTTGCAGAAGAACCCCGACCCCAACACTTCCACAATTTTAGGATCCGTTTGGCCATAGATTTTGCCAAAATAAACTTGGATTTTATTTGGCAAACATATGTTTGATTTTGCCTATATTTTGGCAATCCCAAATCCCAAAACCAGCTTTTGGGCCAAAATCTTTACAAACACTAAGGCCCCGTTTGGCCATGAGTTTTGCCAAAATAAATTTCGTATTTATTTTCAACTCATGTTTGGCCTAAATTTTGCCCACATTTTGGCCAAATCCCAAATCCCAGAGCTGATTTTGCGCCAAAATCCCAAAACTTGGGAATTATATACATGTTTTTCCAAAATAAAGTTGGGAAATATGTTTTGAAAACGTATGTCCAAACACAATTTCATCTTCAAACCAAACTTCACCCAAATCAGATTTTTCAAAATAATTTGGGATCTATGGTCAAACGCTAGCTAATAATATACATGATTTTCCAAAATAAATTTGGAAAATATGTTTTGAAAATGTATGTCGAAACGCATTTTCATCTTCAAATCAAACTTCACCCAAATCAGATATTTCAAAACAAATTTGGGAATATATGGCCAAACGCTAGCTTAACATACAATATCTTAAAATAGATCAAATGCCTCGCAAAGTATCAAACCCAACAAGATAAGAGGAAGGAAACTGAAGAACAAGTACACCTCAATTCCAAGCTAGTTGTATACATGGGCGAATCTAAGGCTAGGCCAGCAAGGCCCGTTACCTTAGGGCCCAAATTTTGAAGTCTCCAAATTCTTTAAATTATTATTATTATTATTATTATTATTATTATTATTATTATTATTATTATTATGATAAACAAGTGTTACAATATATATTTTCGTTATTTGATTGGGTTATTTTATACCAATAAGTTCATAAATTATGATAATTCTATTATATTAGGTTATTTATAATTTATTTTAGATAAAATAAATTTAAGGGCCTCTCGATATGATTTTGTGTTAGGCCACGAGATTCTTTAAGCCTATATAAGAGAGCGCGCGCAAATAGGACTTGACTAAGAGAAAAAAGTGTTCACAGGAAAAAGAGACCATAGAACGTTATCTATAGGAAGAGTTAACAGAGTCACTAACAAGTGGAGAAGACTTGCTGCCAACATTGCATCTCGAACAAATAAATTCCTCTGCTAAGCTTGGCACTGCAAATGAGACGACTGAATTTGCCTAATAAATAATTACATTGAGGAAATCAGGAAATGCAGGGGAACGAGGGAAACAAGACCACCTGCTCCAAACTGCGGCAGGGGGTTTCCGATAACTTTTGAAAGTCTCAATTATCCAGAGCGCAAAGAAGCAACTAGGACAAAGGTCAACTTCCACCAAAGAACATTTAACTTTTTAAATCACAGGAAAAATGCTTCCTCGAACAATATCACTAGACTGAGGTGACATCACTGGATATACCTCTGGAAATTATGCAACCAGGAGGTCACGGGTTCGAGCCGAGGAAACAGCCTCTTGCAGAAATGCAGGGTAAGGCTCCGAAAGATAGACCCTTGTGGTCCGGCCCTTCCCCGGACCTCCCACATAACGGGAACTTAGTGCACCAGGCTGCCCATTAACATTCTATGATATCAGTATTTAACAGAAAATCAGTCTCTTAAGAAATTTAAGGTAAACAATATTTTTACTCCACCAGATCCAAGAATAGAAGTCATTCTAGTTTGTAGCAAAATAAAAACTTTGAGGATGCCTCTACAGGATTTAGTAACAAAAGGAAAGGACCAAGTACACCCATGGGAATATACGGCATCCAGAGGAAAAAAAGCATTAACCCGTGTTAATATCTCTGATCAACCATTTGCCTTTGATCAAAGTACAAAACAAGGGCCTGCGTAGTAACCGTCTAAAAAAATTCCACCACAATCGAACTCCACTTCAGCTAATAGGCCTTGATCCATTAATATAAGCCCAAACTTATGCTTTGTTCTGAACCACAATTAATCTCATTCAGTTGAAGTCAAAAGGTCTGGCAAAAAGTCTTCAACTAGATGTATTTTCAAAATATCTCCTCATTCCACTAATTTTCTTGCAAAATTCAAATCTGCTGTTTTTGGCTATTGTGGCAAAAAGCTATTTTCCTGCATTTTCATGGAGCTTCTTAACTTTCTACTATCCCCTCTTCCCTGGATTTGAGAATACGATCAGCAGTCTCACTAGTTTTAGTTTCTTGAACATTCTGTGATGAACCTCCATTAACCTCTCCACCGTTCTGCATAGATGGCACCTCATTAGTTTCAGTTAATGTCTGAAGAAGCTCCAATGGAGTAGCAGCTGGATCAAGCTCCTGGTAACCCTTTGGAGCATTTTGAGCTTCTTCACCTGTAAGCAAGTGGCTTGGGACCTGATGAGAGAAACGAAACATCTCTTCTCTGGTTATTCTTATCACCTTCTCAGAATTCAGGTCAGGACGAAAGACCGTCTTAAAACCAGCAACTTTGATGAGAGGAACAACTGAAATTCCCTGCTCCTCATTGTAGTCATCAAGAACTAGGACCATGTCATACTTGTGTATGACATCATCAGGTGTATTCTCATTCCAGTCAGGAGACCAATTTCTGTAGAGGGCCCAAACATCCCCCTTTTTAGGATATATTTGAACAGATCCACGAGGGCCTTTTGACCACTGAACCTTGTGGGAGAAGGAATTCACAGACTTACCTGTCTCGTATCTGCCAATCCTAAATTCACCACATGTTTTGTAGAACCCTGAAGCTACCCACTCCATTGGACCAAATTCACTATTGGTTTTTGAATTAAGCCAACTGAGCCTCACTTTAAATGGCTCTCTTGAGAGGACTTTGTTAATCAGAGCGTAGAAACGGGGCATGCCATCATCAGCATCATATGCAGCCCAGACTTCATTGTCTCCGAAACAATTTTCAGTCCTATCCTGGTCAAAATTGTGAAAGTCAGGATCTGGTACATTCATTGACTCCGGCACTGGATCCTCTTGATATGCATCATTAGCTGAAGCATTAACAGCTTTCTTTACTCCCTTCATAGCTGATGACTCAACATTCCCATTCACATTATGACCAGGAACACTAGCATTCTTCTGTTTTTCTTTTTTGCTCTCCTTTACCTTATGTTTTTGTGTATCTTGAGGCTGCGATCTCCATTCATTCAACTTCTTGAGTATCTCTTTCCGAGCTTTCTCCATCAGCATATTTCGGTTTTCAAGTGGCGTCAGCTCCCTGGTACTGTTAAACTTGCTAGAAGAAAAACCATAAGTCCTTTCTGCATACTGAGGCGCATTGGATCTATAACGGATGCCATCCTCATCCAGTCTTCTCTGTTTGAGAGGTGCCTCTCTGTCGGTAAAAGGATGAGCTCTCCCCCATCCAGAACTAGTCTGTGAATCACGTTCTCTCTTCATTCTCTCATGTGCCTGCTGAACAACATTTGCTGCTTTTACTGCAATGGAAGGATCCAAGCTACCAACACCAGCCGTTCTGGAATATGAATCCTGTCGAAAGTTCGAAGAATTTGCAGTATTAGAACTTGCTGCTGCTGATCCTGCCGTTTTGCCAGCACTAGCATTTCCTCCTATAGGGAACTGATTCCCATTAGGTGCATGATTCCCTATATTCTGATGCCACGGGCGAGTAGAATTGGATGACTTGTTATAATTGAATGGAGGAGATGTTTCTGTAGCCAAAAAAGCTTCATGACAGTTGGGGCAAAGAAGAGTGTGGTTGAGATATATCTTCAAATATTCATAATGCATCTTGCATCGGTGGCAAATGGTCCAGAAAGTATCACTTCTTTGATTGGATGAAGAATTAACTGATGAAGAGGACGTTCGAGAAGCATTTTTATGAGTCTTTGGACCTGAATTTGGCCTACTAGGAAAATTATGAAATCCATTCCGTGGAGGTGCTGATGCACCACCTGAGTGCACTGGAACTTTCTGCTGGAATCCTCTTGAACTCCTCCTCTGGTTATATGCCAACCTCTTGGATTTATCAGATAACAAGCTCCAGGCCTCAGACAAAAGTTTAAATGCACCTTCAGCACCAACAGATTTGTTCTTATCCGGGTGGAGGATGAGAGCTAGCTTCCTGTACTGCTTCCTCACCGTTTCATCATCAGCTGAGGGGCCCACACCAAGTACCCCATACCAATCCACTTCCCCGCTTATTTTATTTTCGGCAGAGATATAGACATCAAGTGTTGTTAACATCTGGGTTACACCGTCAAGCCCCGGATACAAGGCCTGAGCTTTTAAGACAAATTTCTTTGCACCAGCAAAATCCTTCTGCTCGAACTTCCGCTCTGCAATTGTTTTTGCCCGAACGGCCTCATCTTTATTGCACTCCATAGTTTGTGTATGTGATTAGAAAGTTCCTTTAGTAATCTCCAATCAGTGCGCCATTCAGTAACACTGAGACTACCAAAATATATAAAGCATGTGAATATCAGATACTGATGACTAAATCTCTTCCCCTTCTTGAAGCACAGTATACTTCAAATCTTCCAATACCTGATTCACATCAAGGGAAGGATCAAAGGCTGTTAGAAATACGTCATTACAGAACCAGAACCAACAAAAAAAAGTGTAACATGTCTTGGTCTTGGTTCCGTAGTATAATTTAGCGAAAAACAACTTATCAGAGAAAAATATTAGAATTTAGATACCAAAAAGAAACATGCACATGTACGCAGACGCATATAGACATGTGCATAGTCTAGTGCCTCAACGCTTAGTGGCCGATAAATTGTTGCTGACAGCAATAGACTTTTGAACCTGGTAAATGGAAGTCAAGATAGACATTCTGGATCCATCATACAAAACATGTGATTAATCAACTAAGACTGACATCTATCTCTCTGGAAATCCCATGATGCAAAATTATATTTGACAGGATAGGGAACAGATAGTACGCCTGATCTTAGCCGGAAGGCCAAGAAAGGTATGCAACAGGAGAGCAAAACTCCAGATATTTGCTTGTGTTAGTTTTTTAGCAACTTTTACTATCCAGGTTAAAGTAATGGGATTCTTTAGCAAAAAATTGAGCTCCTGTAGTTTCTAATGCAAAATATCTTGTTCAAACAACAGCGACATTACTGGTAGTTTTACCATGCAGAAAAGTTGGATAAAGTTAACAGCTACTATTACGTCCGGTTAGAGTACGTTGTTTTTTATACTAAATTGTGAATTCCTCACATCAGTCAAATCTTAAAGTCAAAATTTAAGTGCCAAGTTTACTTTTCTACCAAGAAAAGGAAATCTTCTTTTTGAGCTTTGCTTCCAACTGCAACAACAACATACCCAGTCTTATCCCACACCGTGGGGTCTGGGGAGGGTAGTCTGTACGCAGACCTTACCGTACCTCATGAGGATAGAGAGACTGTTTCCAATAGACCCTCGGCTCAGGAAAGCATAAGCACCACATTAATGAAAATATAGACTTGCTTCCAACTGCAAGAGGATTAATTCAACTTCCAGTCTTTCAAGTAATAGATGTTAACATAACTCCACTGAGCAGCACAATAGACATAAAACATAGAAGTTGATTAGTAATGAATGCCTCTACCCCATACAAGAGTAAAAACTTCTATTTCTCTCTACTCCACATTTTCCCATTCTAAACATTTATGTTGTAACACGCCATTGAAAATTCCAAATTTCGTAAACTTACTTTAGAAACTTGCAATGGTAAAATTTCTCATTTCATCTCTCCCTCTCTGCGAAATTCTATTCTCTTCGCTAAATTCAGTAACCAACTCACTTCCGCATTCCAAAGACTCAATACAGATTACCCTGTCATCTACTCATCCACAGTTCCAAACAGTTTTATCTTCTGCAGGCCACCCCCCACCCCGACCTGAAAAATCTACTCTGAAATGAAAGAGAGAAATAAAAACATGAGGCGATCATATATAGTTCTTCCCAAACACACCCCCCCCCCCCCCCAAGGTGGAAGGAAAGTCAACTAGGGGATGATCATGAAATAAATCTGGATAATGAATTGATTGCTCCCAAAAGTATCAAGTACTTTTAAAAACTGCAGAGCAGGATGCTCTTAAGAGCGTCCACCTCTCAAGCTAAGCACTAATCATTCAGCCTTCATAACAATAGCAGTCCACCTACAACAACAACTACTGCTACTACTAGGCCTCGGTCCCAAACAAGTTGGGATCTGCTATATGAATCCCCACTGGCCATGTTTCTCCATTTAAGCTCAACTCACCCCTATATAATAAGAATTTTTAACTAAAGCAGACAACGAGGAACGAACTGCAATGTGACCCAGTGGCCACCTTTCTTTGTCCAGCTGAAAATTTTCAAACTTTTTAAGCCACGAGAACTCAAATTGAACTACTATATAGTGTTAGTACCAAAAGTTAACTCCTACAAAAGCAAAAAAAAAAAAAAAAAAAAGGGAAACAAAATGGAACGGTAACAGAACGATCCCAAATCAAAATTTCGAATGACGAGATGCCAAATGGATCTGAAACATTAGCGGTTTGTAACGGTCCAATTTTACATTTCAAAAGAGAAACCCTAAAATTCATTACCAAGATAAGAACCTCTTTTTTTGCGCAATCGAAATGAAAAAAGAAAAAACTAACCCAAATGTGCAAATGAGTATTTGAATCGAAAAAGGAAGCGTTTTGCTGCTGCTCTGCTGTTGACCTTCAGTTTTCCCACCAAATTGGAGTAGAAAAAGACGGACCCTTTGAAGAAACTGAAATTCTTTTTTTCGTCAAAACCCCCTCTGAGCCCAAGAACAACCCTAAAATGCCCACATAATCTCTTAATTTGGGAAAAGAACAGCCAGGCATGGGCTTGTTTTACATTTTATACACTTTTTTTGGAGGAGGGGGTATTGCGGAGGGGGGGGGGGGGGTTGTAACCAGAGTTAACAAATCAAATCATGGATCTTAACTATAGTTATTTTTTAAGCACCAATCCTTAACCAGAGTTAAAAAACCATGGCTCTTAACCATAGTTACTTTTTAAATAGAACCTTCCATCTTTTTTTTCAACTAACTATCATTGCTTCGTTTTACGTGATAATATTTGATTAAGCACGTAGTTTAAGAAATTACAGAAAAATAATATATAAGCCAAATACTATATACTTAAAGTACCAAAATTATTCTTTTAAATGAGTGACCGTAAGAGTTTTACATATCTTTTTATTTTTTATTTTCTTAAATAAATGGCCTTTTATATTAAATGGCTCACGACAAGTTATGCGTTAAAAGAGAATATTAACATTATGATCTTTCTCCATTACAACCAATAAATCATAAGTTTAAACATAAAATTTTATCTTCATTAATCGAATTTGATAGTTTTCACTAGTAAAAATTTATGAAGCATTTAAAGAGAGATAGTTGCTTATTATGTTTGAAAAATATGTGTAAAACTCGATTTTGGCTATGTTCTTTAGAATGAACTCACATATCTCATAAGATCAGTTTGCTCTGATACCATTGTTAGATTTTTCTTTAAAATGCAAGCAGTAAGAAAGCTAAAAATCTGTGTCTAATCTATAATCAGAAACCTCCCGTGTACGACATGGCCTAAATTTGCTCATGGCTAATCTTGAAGCCAAAGCAAACTTGGAGCCAGCGTATTCAAACTTAGAGCCAAAGCATTCTAGCTTGGAACCAAAGAATAAAAGTATTTTCTTTTATTCTTTATTTCTTTACTTGGGGACCAAGAACTTTGCACTATAAATATGGGTCATCTTACTTCATTTGAATTATCCCATATTTTGATTAGAAACTCATTTTGAGTATTCTTGTAATAGAGAGTTTTGTTATATTCCATAGAGTTGGTGTTAGGAAATACTTTGAGTGAACCTCTTCTTTGGGAGTGATTTAGTGAGGTTATTCTATTGGGATAAATTTTGGGATGATTAGAGTTTTATCTCTTATTTTGTACTCTCTTTTGTATACCGATCGTTAAGTAAAATCGCTCTTCTCCACTTTTGGGTGTAGATCACCTTGATCGAATCATGTTAAATTGTGTGCCTTCTTTATCTTCTTTAATTACCGTTATTACCAACTTGCACTTTCTTTGTTATTGTCATTATATTGTTGTTTGGCTAAATTTCGCACTACCCAGGTTCCCGATCCTAACAAATTGGTATTACAGCCAAATCTAACTAGGTTAATTTTAATAGCCAATATGACTCTAATAAAAACTTATGTTGAAAAATGTGATCGAAGTGCAAATTTCGGGAAGTGGCAATTAAAGATGGAGAATCTATCATAATTCATGATGGCTTAGACTTGATATTGTAAGGAAAGGAGAAGCAGCCAGATAAAATGACGGGTGAGGAATTTGCCGTCATAGACAAAAAGGCATGTATCATCTTAAATCTCTCATATGAGGTTTTACGTGAAACTTATGTAGAAACCACATCCAAAGGCATGTGGAAAAAATTAAAAACCTTGTATATGAATAGGACGGTGGAAAATAGACTTTACTTGAAGCAGAACCTTTACACAATTCGTATGGGTGAAGGTACCTTTATTCTCTCTCATCTTGACACCTTTGATTATTTTCTTATGGATTTGAGTAATATGGATGCTGAAATTAAAGATGAGGACCAAGCCGTATTACTGCTTTGTTCTCTACCCTATCTTTTAAGCATATAAGTGATATTATGCTTTATGCTAAGGATAATATCTCTTATATGGATATTAAATCTATCTTAAATAAAAAAAAAACATATAGACAATGATATTACTAGGGAAGCTAGTGAAACTCAAGCGGAAGTTGGCTTGTTTGTTAGGGGTAAATCCGACTCAACATCCAAATACAATAGTTTAGAGTGTCGCTATTATCATAAGAAATGAAACATTATCTCCGAATGTTGTAAACTGAAAAATAAAGAAAAGAATAAGGAAAGGAAAAATGAGCACAAAGATACTGACACCGCCGAAGCTAGTGTAGCAACTGATGAGATTGGGGAAACTATATTTTTAGCAACTGAACTAGTTTCTGATATGACAATGAGTGAATTTTAGATTCCGGTTGTGCGCATCATATGTGTCCCAATAGGGACTTATTTTCTACATATGATTCAGTTCAAGGTGGAGTTGTCCAATCGGGTAACAATGCTACTTATAACGTTATCGGCAAAGGTACAATTCCGATAAGAATGCACGACGGTGTGGTGAGAACTCTCATCGATGTTAGATATGTTCCTGACTTGAAGAAAAATCTCATCTATTTGGACACTTTAGAATCTCTTGGTGCAAATTCACCGGTCATGGTGGAATTTTGAATTTTTTTCAAGGTGTTGTTGTGATCATAAAAGCACGCAGATGTGGTTCGTTATATGCTTTATTGGATCTATTTTATAGGCACTACTACAGTTTCGATATTATACAACTTGTCTGATTTTGACGTAATTAAAATTTTGACTTAAGTATATTGAGAATTTTCTGAAAATGGAGTAAAATAACTATATCATCCAATTTAGGCTAATGTGAAGATTTGTAAGACATGGACTAAATTTGTCTACAACTAATCTTGGAGCCAAAGCAAATTTGGAGTTAACGTATTCAAACTTGGAGCAAAAGCATTCTAGCTTGAAACTAAAGAATAAAGTATTTTCTTTTATCTTTCTTCCTTTACTTGGGGACAAAGAACTTTGCCCTATAATATGAGTTATCTTAGTGGATAAGTGGTGTCACTATTTAAAAGAATGAACAATTGAATAAATTAGTGTACTATATATATCATATTATAAAAAGACAATTTAAATTATATTAATGAAACATAATTCAAGTATATTACCACAATTTTCCTCGAAGAGTTTTCATGTTTTGAAATGTATCCATAATTGCATCATTAAAAATATTACTAAATACTTCTTTTTCTATATAAGGCACCAAACAACCACTCAAAAGCTCATCATCCATTCGATTTCATAAGTCAGTCTTAATCAATTTCATTTGCTGAGAAAGCTCTTTCGACCGTAGCCGTAGCAACTACCAAAAGTAAAGCAAATTACACTAGCCGGAACACAAGAGGATAAGTCCCATGCTTCTTTATCTCTACTAGTTTCTTAGAAATATCACCAAGTCCCTTAAGATCGGAAAACCTTTTGTCATGATCTCCTACATCAAGAATGTAATTCTCAAGCTGAACAGAAGGTCAACTGCAGAATATTTATTAATATCATCAGGATATAGCTTAGCTAATCTCAATATATTTTCAACGTCAAAACTTGAAAAAGAGTTAACGGGTTCAAGCAAGCAACTCCAAGAAGCAATTCAGTTGTCACCTCATCAAAGCGGTTGTTGAGTTCTTAAAATTGCCAATCAATAGTTTTTCAAAATACTACAACATGGTAGTGATGTAAAATTTTCTACTCTGCAACTCTACGACGTGATCTTCCAAGGATAACATAAGGCTCATCAAAGTTGGGATAAATATATCATATTTGATGCAAAACTTAGATACCTCATCAATAAGTAAGCCCAACCACCCTTTCTTAGAAGTTGCAACCGATCTTTTGCCACTCCAACAAGTATTATAGTATTTGCAATATCTTGCTCCTTCTTTTGAAAAGCAACATTAAGCTCATTTGTGATTGATAAAATAGAGCGCATACAATACAACATGAAGACAACCTCAAATGTTAAACATTCTTTAAGTTATCCTTTTGCCTTACACCTTTCTTCAAAACGTGCATTAACGACAATAGCATCAAGTGCATCAATGATAGGGACAAACATAAGAATAAAATTGTTAAAGGATTTGTAGTGAGAGGAGTATCAACAGCTCTAGAAAGACCTAATTCTTGATTTAAGCCCCTCCCAGTTTCAAGCTCACCTTTACGTAATGTTTCTTCAATTTCTTGCGCTTGAGATTCACAAAGTTTATCTCTACACTTGATAGAAGATCCCACCATATTTAACGTATCATAAACAACCACTAAAAGTTCTTACACTTCATCACATCTTTTAGAAACCAGAACAAGAGTTAGTTGAAATTGATAAGCAAAGCAATAAATAGAATGAGCACCTTTACTTTCTTTTTGGATCAAGATTTTATACCCATTTATATCACTATACATATTGCTTGCGCCATCGTAACGTTGTCCACGTATGGAAGATGGACTTAAAAAATGTTGAGCAAGTAAACCAACAATTTCATTCTTTGGAGAAAAAGCAGTAGCTTCACGAATATGAACAATACCAATAAATCACTCCATCACACTTCCCATTCTATCAACATACTTCAAACTAATAGCCATTGCTCCTTACATGACACATCACGAGATTCATCAACTAATACGAAAAGTAATCATTATTCAAATCATCAATGATACATTTAACTGTTTCCATCTTTTATGCAGTAATGATATCCTTTGGAATGTATGAAGAAGTCAATTGATTATTCTTTGGAGCTTTTTTAAATGCATCGGCAACATGATTCACATCTTTTAGTATACGATCTTAGAAGTTCAATATAGTTACCTCTATTGAGAGATGATTCATCTTCACGATGCTCCTGAAATGATAATCCTTGGTGTAAAAGATATCTTATCATGTCTACCGCAACCTCTAAACAAATCTCATATTCTAGCTTTTGTTGATCAGATTGTTTAGCAAGTACACTTTGAATGGATTGTTTTGTCTCATCAAATCCTCACTTTTCTTTCTTGACCGATTATAAATACTATTTGGTCCACTAATATGAATATCAAATCTATCCTTCTTGTTCCAACTTGTAAATCCTACACTTGAAAATATATCTCCTCCCCCTTGATTGATACATTCATCTTGAAACAAATAACAATAGAAGCAAAAAGTT